CTTTGTATACACAGTCTAATTTTATTCCTTTAAACCCTTTTCTTTTCTTTTTTTTTTGCGCAAGAAGTAATGAATAAATTTAGTGACTAACTTTATGATTACCCTTTTTAAGCTTGTGGCCAACAATATATTACTTCTCGTACAAAGGTAGCTCCTATATAAACAAACGATTAGCTTTAGGTTACATTTGTTTGCCAGTAGGAGAGTTCATTAAAACTGCAATAATTGCCTTTATGTTTTTCCATCGGACAGGCTATGTTGTTAATTCATCATTTCTTTATTTTTATTTATCATTAAAAGTGTCTGCAAAGGCAAATAAAAGAGGACTAAATAAAATTGATTTGATTAAAGAATATCCGTAGGTATCGATTGTCATTCATTACAAACGTTTAACCCATATCCTATACTTATTCACACTGTGTGTGTGTGAATTTATTTGTTTTTCCATGAACTCTTTCCTCAGTTTGGGAGCTAGCAGGACCTAACTTGGCAGGTAGACTCGAGGTGACGCGAGGGTGTCTTTATCTGCACTTAAAAGTCATGATTATCAGTTTTATAATACCCCCACAACTTAAAGCGGCATTGAAGTTCGAACCTTGGACTCTACGTCCGCAGCTCTTCACAATAACCACCAGGTCATCACTTGGAATCTCCCCACATATGATGGGTTGGGTGTAGGAGTAGGTTTTCAGGTTTGCTATAATAGAATCTAGCATCGAACTTCATGTCTCTGCCTTCCTTCGAGATCCTTAGGGCACTATCTTTGAAACTATGTTCATACTCTCATTCAAGCTAGTGGGAGCAAACTTGGTACACATAATCAGGTAACACGGGCTGATGTCCTGATGAGGAAGCTATTGAAGAAATTCAGGATAATGGAGGAACTTGTAACCTCTTTGAATCATGAAGGGATCTTCGAACCTCACAGGGGAGTAGGGGTATTTTATGTTGGCTCATTTAAAATATCATAAAACATTGCAAACAATCCTTATATTTATTAATATAGACCACAAAAGTACGTTACTGTGTTAGACATGCGTTTTTTTATTATAGTAACGTTACAGTGGTACTTGAAAAGCAGCAGGTTAGCGTGCTTGATTAATATCTGGAATGATTTGATATGTATTAACGTTTATAGCTTTAAAAGAGTGATCTTAATGATTTTAGATGAACGTGTTCTGCGCTTTAACCTCCACATATAGAAATGGTTTCCTTTGCTTTAGTTTCCAGCTTCCTGTCAGTTGAAGCAGAAAATAAAAGCTATCCTGTTTGTGCAAATATGTGTTTATTTTACCCATGAGTGTCCACAAAAACTGGTGTAAAGAACAGTAATTATAACACAAAATTTAATTCACGCTTACCCATCAAATTGTATAATGTTGCATGAGTACTCAATCTGTAATAAGTTGATACAATTGAGTATTATGTGTCTTTAATACGCGAAATGCTTAACAAAGTTTAGAATAAATATATAAATACATATTTTAACTAACATTTAATCAAAATGTCCAGCTACAGTTAAATACGAATACAACGATGACAAAATTGAGTAATTAGACTGTTAGGTGGGATTTTAACTTGTATATATATATATATAGTTATGAGCTTACTCGGCGGTAACGATCACGTACACTGTCTAACCCTCAAAACACTAAGCTTTTCATTCTCAGATTAATCAAAATAATCAGAGAACACGGGCCGCTTCTTTCACTTAATTGGCTCTTCTAACACAGGAAGTTATGCGATTAAACTCCCCGTTGTATATGCACACAGACTGCGAATCTTTTGTTTGCAAATCACTATAATCATTTTCTAACGTGAGGACGTTGCAATATGAACAGTCAGATCACGTGCCTTCTTTGGCACGCGGAGAAGCATGTTTTAACCAGCATTCCCGCCAGAGGTACCTTTATATACCTGTTCATCCTGCGGTTGAAACGGGTTTGAGCATATATGGAAGAAAAGAAACTATTCGGTTCTGTTTGATGTTAATGTCTGTTATCGCCCACGTGCTGACTCCATGCATTGAAGGGAAATCCCCGTTTCTGAGCTCGATACAGGGGTCAGAGAAATAAGGCAGGTTTTCTAGATAAAAATTTCACGTGTGTGTGAAGACAATATATGAACTATTTGTAGCATGTAATTAAAGTTTGTGCACAGTGTTTCAATACCATCACAACCTTCACTCGACGTTGAAAGCTAACATCAGCTGCTTTTAATGAGAGTCGTAAGAAAAAAAAAAGTTTGGGAAACTTTGTAGGTATATATATGCTTGCTGCAAGCAGTTACTTGCCCGATTTAAGACTGTTACATGTACATGTTCTTGGTAGCAAGTTTATCAAATTCTCTTTATTAAACAGACACAAACAATCGCGTGAATTTTTTTGAAACATTTGCTTATTTCTTACAGTTCTGTTGTGTGAATTCGTAATGTCAATGAGGTAATTATTGGAACAAGTAAATCAGTTTGTTCTGATACTTTACGACCAACGATTCTATATATAATACTATCTTTATACCTTTGTATTTCGGTATAAATACTGTGTTTAGAGATGCGGAATCTTACTCTACTCTTCATTATAAACTACAATAAGCATGTATCTTTTATTCATAAAGCTCGCTCATACCAACCGATTCCAGTCAGACCTTAATCAGCGCAGATAGCCCTCGTGTAGCTTTGCGCGAAATTCAAAAACAAACAAACAGACCTTAATCAAATGTCTCAATCTTAAACTTTAATGTAACACAACAATTAAACAGAAACTGAAAATAATAAGGAAAATCAATACAAAGAAAAACAAGAATCAAGTGATGAAAAACGTTTAGGTCAAACGATCTTCATGGGGCGTTGTTGACCGATGCGTTGACCACTTAGTTCACTTTTTTCTCTTACAACGATTTTAAGTTGTTTTTTGTTGTTTGTTATTCAGACCACAATTTTACAGTCAGACGTTCTTCAGATGTTATGCAAACAATAAATACAAGTTTTAGTGCACAAATATCCTTGGGGGAAAATATAGTGTAAATCTCGCCCATTTTATAACTCATACTTGCTAAAATTTATTCCAGAAAAGCATTGTTTCATACTTTCATGACGTGTAATAGAAGTTACAAACAGGCAGTTTTCAGTTTCGAATGTCATTAATCTCCTGTATCTCAGCAAACACTGTAAATATATATATATATATAATCGTACCAGTAATTCAAACAACGGCATGCATACAAGAGGGCCGTGCGCAGGAATTTAAATTTGACCGCTATTGATGTGTGTGTGTGTGTGGTGGGGGGGGGGTTGAGGCATGTTAAAAACACACATATTAAATATGTAGAGACCATATCATCACATGTCACATAGAAACAAATAATATTACACTCACCATAAATGACCGAGTCCGTATGTATGCATAGTTATTTGGTGGGACTCCCTTGTACAAGACTGTGTCGTAGGATTAATTACCTGTCACAGTTACATATTATCTCAGCTCTTAACAATAATCTTGACCTTCAATAAGGCTTCCTCAAGGTGATTTTTACTTCTGGCAATTTGTAAATGCTAGAAGAACTGTAACTCTAACTTTAGCCGCAGGCAACCATTAACTGAAACGTCTATGTAGCGGGCAGTGTATTTCTTAGTCACGAGTGGAATGTTGCTAATCCGGTCTGAATCAAACATCAAGTATTCTCTTTGGTCCAAAGTTAGAAAAATGGAAACGTTTGTTTGTCTATAACACGTTCTCTTGCTATGGAACAAGCATTTGTTATTTACAACATATTGGCTAATGGAAGATAAAAATGTTATTCGTGTTCTCGGAGAGTTTAGACAGAACAAGGATATATTAAGAATTCCTAAAAAAAAACTATCATTATGAATAACGTTATACCAGAAAGAAAACATGTATCTCAATATCTGCGTTAACTTCTTATGAATGAAATATTCGTATACAACTAATACAGCTCATCGTATAAAGTGGAAAGATACGCTGATGAATTAGAACTGTGTTAAATATATTCTTAATCAAGTATCGCCACGCTCATCTTCCTCCTAACGTTACTTAAACACTGGCTGCAATAAGAAGCTATTTTTGGCGCTATTAGAAGAATTTCTAGCGCTAAGTAAAAATGCATTATTCTGTTTTATTTTTGAAACTGGTAAAACAACAACCAGTAGGGGCGTTTCGCGCCTTACAGAGAAGACTCAAAGTAAACCTTGCATTCTAACCAACCCTGTTTGTTTGAAATTGTATTTGGTTGAGATTTTCTATAGCTTTATAATATTGAGAACCATTACTTTTTTTCTACTTTTACCGCGTGAAACAATCACCCCCAAAGCTACACATTCACTTATTTATAGCAGAGGGCGTGGGAAAGAAGGCGAATCACGCGTGAGCAAAACTCCCTACAGGTAGCGTCAGATTGTACACCTGAAAAAAAAGGACCCATCCATCAGAAGTTCTCCAATAGAATGTGGTACTGTAATAAGAGTTCTTGTTAACACATTTGACAACAATGTATTCTGTGCAAGGAAAGTAATAATCATTGAGAGGCAAACGTTACAGCTTTTTGTGACACTGTGATTTCAGTTCTTTAAAAGAACAAACTTTATTAAACATGTTCACACACAAAAATTACGATAGTAAACAGTAGAAAGATAAGTTGGGTAGGATACTGTGTTAATTGACCTGAACCACAAAATATTAAAACATGTTTTATGTCAATGCTTCGACAAATTTTTAACTGTTTTTGAAAAGTTTGAAGAGTCTATTTGAGTGGTCAATGAACTGAACATAGCATGCACAGGAGTAGTCCTCATAAAAGTTAACTTTCAACTTAAAAAAGTAATGATTATGTAGTAGAAAATCTCAATATATTTTCAAAGGTCTTAATTATTCCTCCTATCTAAAAGGCTATTGATATCAGTCATAAAATTATTCATTTTACAGCTTGTATACCAAAATGTTTCATGGAATAACTATCATATCCTAATCGTGATTTTTTTTCAGACTTCAATTTTTCCTTCTATCCTCCATCAATGGTTGCCGCAGCCTCAGTGGGGGCCGCTGTGCAAGGCTTGCTTTGGCTTGGTGAACAATGGTCTTCTCAGAAACTGTTGACCAGGCTGCATCAGATCTTAGGCATCGAAGTGGTAAGCTTTGTTTGTATATATATATATATATATATTTGGAAGTGTCTCGAAACTCATGTATTTTAGTATTTTAATACTGTTTGACACACTAGAAAAGAAAATTTTACACACTTATTGCTAAGTAGGGCACTTGAATTTCCACAGTAATATGCAGTTTCTCTAATTATAAAAAATGCATATTTTTGATCAATGTAGTTGATAGAATTATGAAGGTAGTTTCTTTGTTTAGTCTATCAGCTATTTTTGAAAGAGAGCAGACCACAAAAAAGCCTCGGCATACTAAGAGAGCACTTATTTCAACGATCACTGGAGACTCAATGACAGTATGTCTTCAAGCTACATTCTTCTTCGTTCATTTCAATTGAGCCATTCTTGTAAAATGCTAAATAGGACGGTTCTCATTGAAGCGATACTAGTTTGATGTCAGCAAGAACGTATCCATAATTATCTTGTATTTGGTGACAACTGACAGAGAAGAGGGGATCACCCCCCCCCCATATGATGAGTAAGCACAGACAGGATGTAGGACAGAGTTTTTGCTCCCGTCTACCGAGAAGGAAACCTTATCCTGAGGTAGTTCAGCCTGGGAATTGGCGCAGGGATGTGACGAACTTGATAATCACTGCATCCCGTTGCCCTTTTTCTTCGTCTTGGCACTGTTCTTCTGCCTTTGAGCTCTCACGTTTTTGCCCATCTATTCAAGGTCACAACCGGACGGGAAGCGGCCCCTTCTTCTTGTGCTCACCGAATGCGTATAATGAAGTGTCGTAGCCTGTAGTGGTAGGTCTAATCGCACATTCCATCTTTGCCTACAAAGTGACTGTAAACGGCTGGGGATATAGTTACGCTCCACCCATATTCTGAGGTGAAGCCACAGACCAAAACAGTGCACCCCCACGGTATATTGGGCAAGCGGCTTTCATTCCAAACATCCGCAGGAAGGCGGGCTATTTCGGCGTCTTTTACTGTAGATTTCTTCCCATTCAGTTTATTTTCATTCACTGAAAAATCTTCTATCCTGCGGTTCTTTATCCACTAGCAGCGATCGGTTTACATGTTGACCCGCTGAGTCTCATGCTCATCACAACATCCTTGGAAAGCTCATTAAAAGGCTAAGCAACCCACCTTGTTAAAAAACAAACAAACTTGAAAAGTACTGTGTTATTTATTCGGTGAGTAAACGCGTTAAAGAATATTTACAAAATTAGTTTTTGCTCACAATAGTAAATATTATTGACTCACATAGGGTTTGGTTTTGTTTGTTGTTAAGTGTACAGCTGCAAAATGGCATATCTAACTATGCCTTCCGTAGGTTTCTAACCCTGAATTTTAGCGTTATAAGTCCCCAGGGCTACTTTCCTAATCAGTTACTGAGCCACGGCTGGACCTGGCTGGGCACGTGCCCGGCTAACGTCTGAGTGAAGCCGAGCAATGATAAATTTTCGACCTATAAATATGACCTGGTGGTTAGAACTCTCACAACCTGTGGATCGTGGGATCGAAATTTCTCGTCTATCATGCTCGTCCCTTCAGCCGTGGGGGGCGTTATAATGTGACGGTTAATCGATTAGAGTAGCCCAAGAGTAGCGGTGAGTGGTATTGAGTAGCTGCTCTCCAAATAGTCTATCACTTTAAAATTAGAGATGGTTAGCGTAGGTAGCCCTCGAGTAGCTGTGTGCGAAATTCAACAAACAAACAAACAAGAGCCTATAAAGGAACTGAAATACAAAAAAAAACTAGTTTGTTGTAGTAGGGAAGGTGCGAAGTGTGAAGATCTTTTGGATATACATGCAGAACCTGCCTGAGTCTGTGGCCAAAGAAATTTGTAATGCTTTGGCATTATATTGTATGTAATTATGTCGAAAGAATAGTGTTTCATAAACAACTAGCCAGGTTACCCGTTGTACACATAGTGTACACTTAATTTTACAAACTAATGATATACTTAATTACCTATAAGTGCGTAATTCCGTTAGGTTGTTAATTTTTTGTCCTCTCCCAAAGTGTCTTCAATGTGAGCAAGCTATGATGGTGTCCAGACAACTTCATAGGCTTGTCTACGCTACTGATCTTAATGAACGAGTAATGGTTATCTTTCACCAACTGAGCTAGCTATTTTTACGCTGAGGAAAGCAAATAAAATTTAAAAAGTTGTACTTTATAGTCTGTGATGGCTTTGGTTTTGTTCTAAAACGGGATCTAGTATTTTATATATCACAATTTAAAACACTCAAACTATCTAACTGTGACAAGACTATCTGGTAAACGCACGCATATAGTTTCTCGACTTGTTACACACTCATAGCAATTGAATATACGTACGTAAAGCTACACTAACAATATAAATACGCAACGTCAATATTTATTGTGAAACAGAAACAATCTTTTTTTTTTTTGACTAAACTTGTCTTTGGAACCATTTTGAGTTTTCTTTTGCTGTCAGTTGCCTACAAGTTCCTACTATTTCCCTTAAAGAAAGAAACCTCCTGCAAATCAATTTAAAATAGCACCAGGCCCTAGCAACAAGTGCGTTTCCTCTGTGATAAATTTGACCGGCACTTTTACTCGAATATCTTTGGTCAAACCAGGAAATAATGGTGTGGAATTCTTGGAACTGGGAACTTAGTGATGGGGAGAGTCATTTTTAAGGCTGTACCCCCCCCCCTCGCCTCCTTACTCTGGTTCTCTCTATCCCTGCGGGTATCCAGTGGCATATTCCACGTTTATTCACTGTGAATTAACTTGAAATAAACAGTATTGTTTGTTTTTTTTTATTTTAACGAGAATAATAAAAATAGCCTTTCAGTAACAATGCTTTGTTGTTAATTATTCCTTTTAATATATTTTTCGCACACTTCTTTTTGCTATATAAATCTCTTCATTACATAATCGGACATACAATCACTTACTAATATCCAAATTAAAACTGTTATTGTGTGCTTTTAAACAAATGTGTTTAATTTAAAAACTGTCGATGCAGAACGGGCTTATCTTTACAATTGTGTGTGCTGTGTTTTTGGTCTGTACTGGAGAGACTTTGTTTATAGGATGGTGGTTTTTACTTTCTAAATTATGTTATACTGGTAATCATTAAAACCTACAGAGAAAATATACCCAGTATTTAATTGTTTCTGTAGGATACTGAATATCTGGGATTTTTCCAGCTTTCTCATTTTCCTTATGCTGGGAGATATTGATTAGAACATATGGTTTGTTTGAATCCTTCCCATGATTCTTTGTAACTCCAGCTACCACCCATGGTGTAGCTAGGGTGCGGTTCTGGAGATGAAAAAAACTAGAAAAAAGTATCTTGGAGGTCATCTTAGCTTGAGGTCTAATCAGGACAGACCTTCTCTGGAAGTTGTTAGCTACACGCGGCGGCTTTTCTTCCTGAGGCTCCGGGGTGGTTCCGGAGTCAAACACTCGCCACTTTAGCCATAAATAAACTCGACAACAAATCTCATCACACTTCGTTCTTGTTTTGCTCAGTAAGTGACAAAGTAAATACGTCGCACAAGAGGGTCTCATGAGTTTTTAAGTATTCCTGGAATTTACGTTCTCGTGGATGCTACTAACCTGAAAAAGAAAATTTTGAGTTGAGCAACATGTTATATTCAGATATGTAGATTTCTTTGTATATGTTGGGGTATAAGTTTTATCACATCCATGGTGCTGAATTTGTGAAATACAATTTAAAGAAATATTGATAGTGTACTGCCATTCAGATAACAACCTAAGGCGTATTGGCATAAATATTTATTCTTATCAACAAAAGCATGCTTGATTTTTTTTTAAATTTACCTTTAATAATTTTTATGGTAAATCATTGACTACTATTTAAAAAAAAAGATCTCTAGACTATATTTTTCTTATTATTCCATCACTTAGGATTGTCTTCGCCATTGTTTGGAACAAATTGAAGGAATGGTGGCGATCCCATCGGAGAAACATTCAAACAATCTAGTGACTATGAAGAGTACGAACAGGGAAAGTACCAAACCACTTACTCCAACTGATGTCCAAGATGTCCATTTCTAAGACTGATTCTATTGTAACTGCCATCTTTCATAGACTTATATGTTTTAACAGGCTTAGGCAGTCATCAATAGTGCTGCCCTCTACACCTATCAGCACCCGAGTCCTAGTCATATTGCGTATTTTTTGGGAACAGAAAAATGACAGTGCAGCGTCATTAGTTGTTCGATTGTTTGGATTGTTGTCATTATGAACCACAAATCGACTGTATTTTGCACGAAATCTGTGAGAAACGATTGTATAACTGCTGCCACATTTAGGTTTTGGGACAAAACTGATTTTTCAAATACCTCTGATCAATTCCAACAATATTCCCAACTTTGTACAGTTAAAGCATTCCAAGTGTGTACAGGTCACTGTAAAAATAGCTAAAAATTCAAAAGCCGCACCAAATATCAAATACACAGGTCTGAGTTATTTTTTAAGTGCAACAAAATGCAATAATGTATAAGAAGAGCTAGGTTGTTAGTTTTAGGTTAAGTGTAATAATGATTTACCTTTTTATGTATGTGGATTGTAATTAGTGTTAGAATGTAAGAGTAATTGAATTTTTGATGTGAATATGAAGGTAGAACACACACAAAAAAAGATTTACCCTTGACTGGTCAGGGATATTATTCAAGTGAACGTACTCCACTATACGCTCTGGAACCTTCTATATGCATTTTTCAGTTTGCGTATTTACATTCGTGATATTACTGTGCTATGCTTTATTTTTTTCATTTGCAATTGTACTTAAGTTTTTGAATAGCTTTTTGTCATATTTAAATCAATAAAATTTTCTCATGTCGCCACGAGCTCTCTTTTTTTGTTTTTTAAAGCTTGATCCTTTTCTGTTGATAAAATCGAAATTTTAAACAACGATAAAGTAATATTTGATATCAGACTTTTAATTTATCACTGTACAATACTTATATTATGGGAATCTCTCAGCTGCATTAAAAAGGCAATGCTTGTGTGATAATACTGGAAGAAGATATTAATTTGTGATGATTTTCAATCTACATTATTACATTAACATGGAAAATAAGTATTAAATCTTAAAATATGCTCAAATGTTTAAAAGAATTAATTCAAAATTCATTAGTAATAAATTGCTATTAAGATCAATTATAACTGTGAGTCATAGGATATCTTTCAGCCTCACACAGCATGTAACGGTCAAATGTTATCCAGTGAATCACCTGGTGTTCTGTAAAATCTTGTTTCAATGTTTGTAACAATAATTGTTAAATAATGAAGATAGGTGTATAATACTCTAAATTTCCTAAATATATTATTTTTTATATCAGTATGATATGAAATTGTAATAAAACCTTTAGATTGTTTTAATAATCTTTACAATTTTTATTTTTTACTTGCAACTTGAAAAAAACAAACGAATTTTCTGTCACGTGTATCAAACGAACTTCAGTTTGATGACATTATCAATATAAGAAGCCGGTAAACAGATGTTAAAGCTCTTTAACATGAAACATTACGATGTACTTTGTGAATTCGTAAACACTAGAAACGAGTTAAAAATTCTAGACAGAAAATGTTTAAAATACGGAAAACTAATCAATATTTGTCATTGCAGAGATACAGCAACTATATTTAATAAAAGCAAAACTTTGACATGAATGGTAGCTATGGATATAAATATCACTTAAAAAGGAAAGAACGCCAGGTTTATAGTTTCTTGCTTAATAATTTGTTATAAATAAGTGTATACGTTGACGTAAAAGCTAGCGAAGGTACATCGAATATTAAAAATAAATAACTTCATCAAACAGTAAATAAAATGGTATGTGGTAAAATGTAGGTACTATTAAGACAGCACCTATAAGTAAGTAAAAGTTCAATTATATTTCTAGTCTGTTCAGTTTCTGTTTTATTTTAAAATAAAAGATTCAGTTTGAAATTAATCTAATACTGAAAAAATTGAAATAAATTTTTTAAAAGAAAAAGTCAGGCAGACTTTGTTTCATTACATTTTTCTAAATGTTTGTCTAGTAATGTTATGTTTTGAGATTCGATACATGGTATTAATTGGTTTAAAAGCTCTTAATAATATGAATAAGATAGCTATCATTGTACAATTTAATTTTTTTATTTTATTTTAAAATAAAAATGTTTGAGCAAATTTCACTAAGGCTTGTTTTTGTAAATGTATTGTTCAACTTGTGGGCTTGATATGTTTATCTAGGTTATTATCAAACAGTTTCAAAGGAGAAACAAAAAAGAAAAGATTTATGTAAACATAAGTTTAAAACTGTTTTCTGCTTCATTTAATTTTATTATTTTGTATCCAACTTAATTTAAGTGGTGCAAGCACGTGAAAAAAGTTTGCTAGGAAGGTTACCTTATTGGTAGGCTTGTAGAAGAAGTAGCCTTTATAAAGGCCCTTGTAAGTTTGTTCATGAACGTTTTTGTTTATTCAGTAGCCCATATAGCGGGTTTGATGTATTTTTTATATACATACTCAACTTTTCTTAATTGGTTACAGTTCAGAAAAAAAAAGTAGCCTTTAGTCATCTTGCATGCTTCTGGTGTATGTATACCTCATGGAACAGCATCTCTCAGGAATATTTAGGCTGTGAAGTTACTGTTAATTTCTCTGTATAATAGTGTCGTTCTTGCGGCCCTTTGTAATTGTGCCTTTTTTGATTTATTGTTTCAGCTTACACACATTGTACTTAATTCTCCCTCCCATTTCAAATCATTTCATTTACGCCATTCATTCAGGAATAATAACAAAAAAACACGTAGTAAGCTTGGAACAAGAGATAAATACGATTATGGTTATAGAAGTTATGGCTTTCTGCATTTCCCCTTTTTGTTTGTTTTTTATTATGTTCAGTTTTCGCCCAAATGCATTTCTTTGCCTTTCCTTTTATTAGGAATTGTTACATGTTGAATAAAGCTGCTTTTTAAACCAAATATATTGTCTTTTTTATTATTTCAAAAATAACAAGAAAAATGATCATATATTAAATTCCTTTACCACATTATAAAGATCATTGTAATGTAAATGTTTTGCTACTTTTTCTCCAAGTAAATATGTTGTATACAATATAAGAAAACGTTATTATTGTAAATTAGTAACACCAAAATCTCAATAACCGTTCACATGATACATTTTCAAAAGATATAATAAATAATTGTTGCTATGATAATTATATCTAAATTTACTTTAAAATATTTTTCTAAATTCACCTGAATGCAACGAAACTAAGCCTAATCACTTTAATGATTTTTTTTGCTAGTAGGTATAAAAATATTCTACCAAAATGTATTTTAAAAAATCATTTAGACAAAATAAATGGGTGGGGTGGGGTATTTTTATGATATATTGATTGTTTTCTGTTATTATATTAGATTATAATTTAAACAACACATATCACAATTCATTATAATTTTGATTAATTCTTCACCTGGTTATCGCATTTACTTTTGAATTTTCAGATATTGAAATATCGAAATATTTTGTGTTAGATATTTATTATATACATATTCCAAATGTTTAAAATGAGCAGGGTTATGATAAGAAAAGCAAATTCTCATGAACTACAATTTATCATGGATCTAGATTTTTTTGTAAGTATTAAACAAAACATTAATTCCTCCAATTGAATAACTTATAGAACAATTCAAAAACAGAAAAAATACTTAAATTTGAAATTACCAGCCTATGTAATTGATTAGAATACAATAACTTAGGTAGTTCGCTGTTTGGTAAACTGCGACCTTCCAATGTTTTATAATAATTGAACTGGGCGATATGTTTGTTTCTCGTTAAGCCCAAAAAACTACACACTGCGATACTTGTGTTGTGCTTAACACGAGTGTCGAAGTCCAGTTTTTAGCGTTATAAGCATTCAGATTTCCCGCTAAGCCATAGAGGAGCTTCCAAGTGATGACCTAGTGGTTAGTGCGAAGAGCTGCGGACTTAGAGTTCAAGGTTCGAACTAAGTTGTAGTGGCATTATAAAACTTATAATAAATCCCGTCATTCAGTTCAAAGAGCCGAATAGAGCCCTTGAGGCGTCTCATACCTTTGGTCAATACTTCAAAGCCACAAAAGGTACCGTTCTGATTGAATTTTAATTTCAATCTTGCTAAATTGATATCATATATATACTTTTTTCTTGTTTTGTGTATATACATGCGTGTGTGTGTTTGAAACTAATTCAATACATTACTGATAAATAATGTACCAAATTGTTTATTCGCTGTTCAAATACCCTGCAAGAGCTATATATCAATATATGTAAATGTATAACGCCAAAGCACTCAATCTTTTAGACTTTGAGTGCTCTTACATAGCCGCTTTCAAACGTTATTTATACTGAACAACAAACTGGTCACCAGTAACTTACAATAGAGTGAACTCATCACGCCGAAAACCAGTGTTTGTCTTTTTTTTTTAAAAAAAAAAAAGAAGATAAAAATTATTACTAAACGACTATAACAACCGAGCTATTAGTTGCTTTTAATAAATTATTTTCAAGGCATTCTAAAAAATAGTAATAATAATAATAACCCCGAGTCTAAGGATACATATATACCTATATATCTATAAAGGTTACATAACAGTTGTAAAGTCACTGTTATTTCTTATCTTGACCGATGTTGTAAAGGAAATTTTCATGTAAAAACAAGAATAACGTTGCACTTATATATATATATATATATATATATATATATATAAAGACAAATAAAATTAAGATACAAATCGAATTTTGGAAAGGTGGAATGTACCATATTAGATCATAAGGTAAGGCTCTCACAGCTGTTAAAACACATCTTCTATCAGATTTAACCATTATTTGTAATCCTTACACGTGAAGAAATAAATAAAATTACAAAGAAATCCCACATCTAAGATTATCATCCACTAGCCTGCAACTAGTTGATATAAATGAAATATAATATAGATTACTACAACTGGTCCATTATGGGTAATAAATAAAACTTGTATCCTAAAGTTGTCATTCCAGCTTCCCTCCTTTAATAAATTTGAACCTTCCCACGTTGTAGATTACATTTAATTTTTATGTGCGATTTTTTTTACTTGTATGCCTTAAATGGCCGTCATACGAGTTTAAAACAATCATCTTTGTAATTTCCCTCTTTAAATATTTTGTTTAAAACCCCTATAATAAGCAAATTGAAATCCATTTTCATGATTTATAAAAGCGTATGTGCTGCCATCTAGTAGCAAACTCATAATGGTACATTATTCTTAGTGTCACGGAAATTAAAACAGATGTAGACTCGGGTTTGATTTATAATAATCATTTTCAGTTACAAGTACACGTTTTTAAGCTCCCTTTCCTATTACCTAGGGTAATTCTAGAGATGTGATTCTTATACTGATCCCTGGAATTTATTTTCTATTTAAAATTAGGGGTCGGCCGGTATGTCAGTAAACCAAGAATTTTTACATCCGGATGACTAGGCCAGTCAGGACGAGCATGTTCAGTGGCAGGAATTCGAACTCACGACCCTCAGATTGCGAGTCCAGCCCTCTAATCACCATGCCCTATTTCAAATAGTATCATCACAAATATATTGAAATGGATTAATATTTCAAATTTTAGGACCAAACGATAAATAATCAACAAATTTAGCATCCACTTTCAAACTTTATTAACTTATTAGAGAAAATCTTTTGATTTTAAACTAATAACTTTAACATACTGACTTCTATCCAATTTTCTAAACCTTACTTTTGTCCAGAATATTTAACACACTCTTTATGAAATATTTTTCCTAGCCAAACGATTTCAGTGTCCTAAAAATCTACCACAAAAGACCCTGCTTCCCAGAAGTATCATCACCAAATGGGTTCCTGAATCATATAAACCCCTTCTAATCATCAAAGATCATGTATCATAAAATATCTATAGTACAAATATTTACCCTACCAAGTATCTTGTGCCATAAAAGATAACTATACCAAATGAGTTTAATTTATCCCAATAACATTTGTATCACCAAAGATACTTTTTCTTCCAAACATATTACTCGTTGGTTTTTTTGTATTTTACAAATTATTTTACTATCACACATTCTGTATCCTAGAAAAACAATTACAAAATGGGTGTTTATCATAGCTATGATTTTCCATCATACTATATTTATGATATATATCCATAATTTTTTCCCTTATAAATATTTTTACCACGAAGGATTCAACATCTTAAAAACTTATTTACTGCTTGTTTTGTCCCCCCCCCACTCACAAGCCTTTATTACCAAGGATCTTGCAACTTAAAAATACATCCACTAAATTAGTTCTTGTAGTCTACTGTATATTCACTAAATGGGTTTATGTACCCTAAAGAACTTTTTATTAGAAGGGTATCCATGAACTATACTTATGGACTACCGTTCTGCAGTTCAATTTCCACTGCATAAGCTTTAACATCTTCATGAAGTACTTATTAACTGTGTGCAAATGAAAATTCCAAGGGTCCATTTGAACAACTCAAAGTCCTTGGATGATGACTATGAATGGTATAGCATGAATTACCATTTGTGCTTAAATCATGCTTGAACCGGCATGTTGGCTTGGATGTACAGCTGGATGCTTTGTCTGATGGAGCCATAACTTATTGGCACCCAGTCCATACAAAGATTATTTTGTTTGTTCACATGAAGGATTCTTTATGCACAAAATTGGCTAAACATAGTTCATGCATAGCTATCTTTAATTTTAAAGTGTGGACTGGAGGGAACATAAGCAGTTAATAGTACATTCACCTGAAATGGTAACATTTAATCAAATCACAGAATTGCCTTCATTCTCATAATGCATCCACATCTCAAACCCAAGACCCTCAAACCTCTGTTCCGATACAGGCCCTATGCATTGATGGTGTTTCCTCATGGAATAATAGTGTCAAGCAGTAGTAGTAAGCAGAATTCAACTTGGTATTTTTTTTCAACTTTCTGGATGTTTACCTTACCCTTGTAGCTGTAACCTTCAACTAGCAAAAATCCTTTGGGAAAATTTTCCTGACATGCTCCATACCATCTTTAAAATATTGTATGAACAATAGGATGTTTTTCACTGCTATAATCACACCATCCCTTGCTTTGTTAATAAGGTTCAACGCTACAGATATTCTTTTATTGAAACACTAAAATGTCATGCCTTGGATGCTTTTATAACCATGGAATAGAATAATTCTAAAGGGTAGTCCTGGAATGTTTCCCTCCAAGAAGTGGTAAATTTTAGACACCACCTGCACTTGCAAATCAAATACATTTCAACTTAATTGCAACAAGAAGATCAGGGATGGCCAGGGGCATGATGATTGGATGCGTGTTTTGTTATCATAGGTCGTAAACAATCCTCTTTATACTTCTATCACCAAGGGTCCTGTATGTCAAAAATATATCAATCAAATGGGCTCTTTTATCTTACAAACCTTTCTATTAACAAAGATTTCTGTATTCTAAAAAGAGCTCTATCATAAAGGGTCACATATCACACATTTTAAACCCGAAAAATTTTAAATGTCTATTTATAGCATCCTCTATTCTTGACAGATTTCTATGAAAAAAAATAAGAAATTATGACCTATAACATATATTTCAGAAAGTTTTTGTATCCTAGAGAAACTTGCATCACAAATGAGCCAGTATCTTAAGAATCTCTGTAGCAGGAAGGAATCAGTATTTCAGAAGCATCTGTACCAGAAAAGAAACTATATCCTAGGAACACCTGTTTCAGAAAGAAACCCTTACATAGATAACCTTGTATCATACAAAAATCTCTATCAGAAAAGAACTTCATCCTAGAAATTACCAAAACAGAGGGGAATCTGCATCTTAGAAACAGCATTGCCAGAAAAAAAGCTTATAGTATACCCTGGAAACAATACTACCACAACAAACTTTGTATTATAAAAAGGTAAATTTCATTAATAATTAATTCAGAAAACTTTGATTATTCATCTTTTACATGAAATATAATAATGAATCCTGTTTTACCTCAAAGTAAAATGGTGTAATAATAATAATAACATATTTAACATAGTCTTCTTCTCTGTGACATCTTCTGCTCACCAAACCACCTTTAACCAGTTGTACAATTAAAGATTACACTTTAAAAGTAAAAGACATTATCCCATTTAAAAGAATGAAAAAAGACAGACGATAAAAGAAGTAATAAAGTTTATGTGGTAACCAGAGAAGACTGTAAATTGTAAAAGACATTATAAAATGCCAGTTGAATAAAACAGAACAATTAAAGTGAAATCCAAATAAGAACTAAGCCAGGCAGTTTTATTACTTTTTAAAGACTTTATTTTGTTAACATATTTCCCTAGATCAAATCACTTAGAATAATAGTAAAGTCTGGATGTGACAGCAATTTAATCCACACTCATTCTCTCTTCTGTTGCAGTATCAGGTTGAGTCTCTGGGGGTGTAGGGCCAGATGGTCGGGGTTCTTTGTCTTCATCCATCCTTGAGCTTGAGCTATCTGATGGAGGCGGATGACGAGACCTTTCCTCACCTTCAATACCAGCAAGCTGTTTGAACATGTTAAAGGTTTGTGACAATCTAAATATTTATGAAGTCTGCAAGGCACTAAAGATGTTTTAATAACATGGTTTTTGGTCTTTCAATGAAGTGTGAAATGTTTTTAATCATCAAATTACCAACTTATTTTTACACTGCTCATTACCAGTGGGGTCCATAATAATTTAAACACATTTTTCTAAACTATTTGTACACCAACTTGCTTGTGGGTCCATTACTGTTAATTAATGATTGATTACAGGGTGCCTAGTAATGTATGAGTCATACAACGAAAAATTATTAAAATGTCATGAATATTCAAGTAATAGGGTTCTGTGAAATTGCTTGTTTTCTAGGAATTTCACTAGTAATTCTAGGGTTAAAGAAGCTATGCTATAAGTATTTATATCTTTTAGATGACATGAAATAGTTAGAAATGGTAAAGACTGTCAAGAAAAACATCTTACTAACACTAACAAATCAATCAACATAGGTATTACAGTGTTAATTTGACAATTTTGTTCCTCTTAAAATTTAGCAAACTTCATCAATAAAATATAACTCCTAGAACAACAATGTGTATGAATAAATGTGTTCTATGCTAAATTGTTTTCCAAGTAAAAATCTTTTACTTTGGGAAACAGAAAAGGATACATAGGGAGCAACAGCATCATCTTCATAAATTGTAAAGTCCATTCCTTGTCCAACTATAGCAATAGAGACATTTTTGGTGTTGAGTTCGACCTCATTAGGGAGACATTCTCGTAGTGCTCTCAGCCCGTTTTTGACCAGCTCTTCTAGGTTAACTTATTTAAAAAAAAGACATAATCACTAATCATATTTGAATAATTTTTCATTACCCATGTATGCTGAAACATCGAGAAAAACTTTGAAGATATTGTACAGTAAATATATTTTATATTCTTTAAATACTATAATGTTTAGGAAAGTTTAAGTGTTACAATAACTTTTAGACATTTGAAGGTGAGAAATGGACACTGATAAAATTTCCAGAAAGGTATATTAGCTATGAATAACACTTAAGAGATGACACATACCACCATTATTTTTGTTTTAAAATGCTTATTTCTAATTTTATGTTCAAATATTAGGACAAAGCAGTGAAAACATGCATAAAATTTTAACTTATAATACTAGCAAATCCTTTTCACCACATCATATAAAAAACAACAGATGTTCAAGATCAAAGAATAGAGTAAAAAGATGCCTTATTTAATTTATATGTAGAGTTTTTATATGATTTATTTTTCTACTACATTGTTATCATTTCAGATAATGACTTTTTTTATTCCTCTTGATGATGACTCCATTAAACCCTTTCACTGTGGCTGGGACGTATATTTCCCAGATGTCCCAGCTGCAGTGAATGGGTTAATAGTTTGAAGAAACACTTACGTTAGTGTCACTACTCGATACAAACTTTCTAAACTTACAGACTTTAAACTCATCCAAGTGTTTCTCAAGATAGGTACGAGCTGACTGAGAACGAGCTCCTATAGCCATGGACTTACAATCAAAATAGTTAGCAGAAGGACAGGTCTGGTAGATATGGGGCCCATGATCCTACAGCCATAAAAAATAACATGGAAATAATCACAGGTAGTGTTCATAGATATTGTTTTGCATTGCTAAATACAATTTATTGATATTGATGTACATATATATATATATATTCTATGTACATGAAATATACAAAAAATCATAAACACATATGGCTCAATCAAGAGCCAGATGAAAACATATGTACAACCACTATACGATAAACAGGGAAAACAAAAAAAGACTGTTTTACAATGAGAAGAAAATGTATGCAAGGAGGATTTATGGCCTTGTATACTCCAAATTAAAGTACTAGAAGTCAAACATACGGAATAATTGAAATGGTGAGAACAGTGAGTGAAAAATTTGGAATACAATCAAGATATTTTTGCATGCTTTGTGGAATTGGTTAAGGCATATGATAGGGTATGCTGGCCAAAACTATTGGAATTGGTGATAATAACTGGAACAGACCAGAAAGTCAGACAACGCCTGTCCCATATACAAGAATATGTGAAAAGAGTAGCTGGTAGTGACAGTAGGAAGAGGAGTCAGAAAAGGTTGCTCATTATCACCAGTACTTTTTAACATCTACTCTGAGGCAATGGTGCAGGAAGGATGGGAAGAGGATGAAGAAGGTGTAAACATTGAATGAAAAAAAAATCAATCAAATCAGGCATGCTGATGATATTGCTTCATTGCATATTCTAAGGAGAGGCTACAAACTTTGGTAGAAAAATTTAATGAGGCAGTAAAGGATTTAGAGATGAAAATCAATGATAAGAAAACAAGAGTGATAAAAATTTCAAGAAATTAAAGTGCAAGGACAAGGATCTATGAAGAAGGACAATGACTGGATGAGAAGCAACAGTTTTCTTATTTCGGGAGTATTCTAAGAGCAAAATAAAATGCTCTAAAGTAACTAAAATCAAGAACTGAAATGTGAAAAGAAACCTTTAGAAAGAAGTTTTTTAATAAAATGATTGGGCAGAATACTGAAAAAAGACAGATTAATAGCTGTGTACGGAGTGTGAAAATGCAGATTTTGAGGAAAGATGGCATCAGAAGATTTGAAAGTTTGCAGAATGGAGTAAATCAGTTTGATAGAAGTGAAGGTAAACAGAGAAGTACTAGAGATGGTACAAGAGAAAAGAGGTTTGTTAAAAAAGACAAGAAAGCAACAGAAGAAATGATTTGGACAAGTTAGAAGAGAGAGCTTGATGGAAGAACTCTTAAAAGAAAGAACAGAAGTAAAACAAACATATGGAAGGACAAAGATGCTGCTAGATGAGTTGAAATAAGAAAGAAAGTATGGTGATTTGAAGCAGAGGGCAGAAGATTGTAGAAGGAGAAGAATGACTGATTAACTGACAGTAACATTTTATTGGAAATTTTGTGATTTAAGACCAAGACCTGCCTGTGGAAGAATACTGATGAATGAATTCAAATATATATATATCTATTTCAGTCAGTAGATGTTTTGATAGTGGCAAAGTATTAACACAGTTCTTTGGATGTGTGTATTGAAGCTGTTGAAAAAAAAAGGTTCCTGGACAAAGCTGGAATGTAACTTACACAGTAAATTGACTTTTTAACTTTTCTTCCATCCCCATAAACAGAAAAATTAAAATACATAAAAAAACTGATCAAATAAATACTTTATCATTTTAGTTGAATGGATAGGTGTTAGATTTAATTTTTCAAAACTCACATTTTATCAACTATTTAAAAATTGATATATTGTCCAATAACTGCAGTTTGTAATTACTTTCTGGTTTACTTTTTAAACAATACTTTTCCACCCTTCTTTCTTCTAAATAATTGTTTTAACATTCATTTCCTGATTTATCATCTAAATAGTACAAATTTATTAACCTCCTTTTGAATTTACATTCTAAAATGAAGTACCTACTCTCTCACCATTCTTGGTTTATTTTCCAAGGAATTACAATTTCTTACCCTTTTTTTATAATTCACTTTGTACATATAAATTATATTCTCCCCATTTCTGGATTTAATATCTAAGATATGAAATTTTATTAGCCTCTTTTCATGATATATCTTTAAAACACAAATATTCAATTCCTTTTATAATTTAACAAAACATAAATTTTTAATAGTTATTTCTTTATGTTTCAGCTAAATAGCAGTTTAATTTTATTTCTTTCCTAATTTATCTTCTACGTGTAAACAGAGAAGAAAACACAACATGTCAGAGTACTCTTTTCTGATTCATAATGTTGAACCTTTGTTAACCTGCCTAAACATAAATAGTGACAAAGAGTATAAAATTCTGTTAGGATCTGGAGAAAAAGCCAATATAAAATATCTAAATCTTAAAAATGCATCTTTAATTTTAAGTCACTGCCAATCAACTAGGTTAAAAAAAAACATCTTAAAACACAAAAATACTTACATCAAATCCTGCTACCAGTAATCCCACTCCATACGGTCTTCGATCGTATCTCTGAGTACATGTTTGCATTTCTGAGAGTTGATGTAAAGAATGAATAATAGATCATATTTCATTAAATATATGTTTATCAGCAATTCAGATGATTTCTTCATTCTATTTAAGGCATTAAACAATATAAATCTAACCTAAGTACAATGATAATGAAAAGCAGAAAAAATGAATTAAAACACCAAAAATATTAAATTAAAAAAGCATCTTGTTAATAATATGCTAAAAAAACACAAAGTAAATATTGCACTCATGTTTCTTTAAATGTAATTTGTCTTTTTACTTATAATATTTCCCTTACTATATTTGTTATATAAATGTAAAAGTGATATTTATAGATATGATTGCTATAAACAACTACAATAATTACATTAGTTAAATAAAATTAAATAACACTTTTTCAAAGGTTGATAAAACTAAAACACACTACACTATTAAAATATATTGCCAATTAAAACATTAATAAAAAGAACATCAAGCCCTGTTGAATATTCTCTACATTACTTGGTATCTAAACAGCTATCATCATGAGAGTCAAGGAATTACAGAGACAACTTATACATTTTAACAAGTATGCATGCATACAACTTTTAAGTAACTCACATAATTAGTCAACCTGTTACATCCTTTGCCTTTAAAAAATATATTTCCAAAAATTAATTTCTATAATATGCAATGATTTCCACAAATTCTCCAATATCTAATTCATTTATATGATCAATCTGATTAACCATTATATTAATTGATAAAATGAACAGTACTCACCAAATCTTCTGCCAAAGCTGATGAACTTAACTACATTTTATCTATATCATTTTTATATTTGTTAACTATAAATTTTAAATTTCAGCATGTCTGATCAATGTGAATTTAAACCCAGTTACAAGTAATTTTACAGATACCACATTTACCATCCTGTTCTACTTTGACTTCAAGACTAATAATAAAATTCCTTAACTTATAAGCAGGCAAAAATGTTACACTACAGATGATTTTATTTTAAATATATTACCTATTTGCATGGAAATACATTGAGCATACAACAAAAATATCCTCATACTATCTGAATCAGTATTCATACGTAATCTGGAACATTGTGACACATTTAAGCTATTAGTCTTTATTGTAAATCTTGTCAATAATGTTATCCTTAAATCTTCTATCAATCGAAAACATTAAAAAAAATTCAACTCCAACATTAAATCTTTATGACATGTACAGAACTTTAAAGGTTTAAAAACAAATGTTGAGAAAAAAAAAAAAGACTATTTTTGTATCCAGGGGAAACATGATTTCCTGAGTAGCACCATGAAAACAGCTTTCTGTACACCATCATTGAGAAAAACCTTTATCCCATTTTACAGTTATGTTCAAAAATTTCAAGTAACTATCCTTTTCAGTTTCTAATGTGAATTGAATGTCAAAGCTGACAGAATTGATGTAGTTTTTAAAATCCATTAATGTATCATTACCATGCCACTACATGCATGATTTTATAACCCATGATTTAAATAATGATTTATTTAAACCAACTGTATGGTTAAGAAATGTGGAGGACATGTTTCTTGCAACTTCCAATAATTAGTTGTGGTGAACACAAACAATTCTTTAATTACTGTTTTATACACTATTTAATAAATTTGAACAAATAACCGTGTGCAAAAGAATTTTAATTAAAGTTAGTCTAACAATACATGCATGAATAGCAGTTTGAAAATAATGTAATAATAGAAGATTGTACCCATGAAAATTTAGCATATAACAATATATCTGTAAAAAATTAACCTGGAAGTAGTTGGTAATTGAAAATCGTGCCTTTTTTCACTCCTATCAATCATGTAACACCCAATAAATAATGAACAACACAGAAATACCATATACATTTAACACATTCAGTATTCACTCTAGAAAAGCAAGGAAAAAATTACAATATTTCATCATGAATTATGACATTTATTACAAATCAAAATATACAAATAATGCTTTGTTTTGAAATATCCAAAAGTTTCATTTGCTTCACTAAATATATTAATTTTTTACATTATTCTTTATGACTCAGTTGATATACAGTACCTTAACATATCTAATATATAAAGCTAAGTTTGTGTCTGTTTCTTTGCACCTTTCAGCCCCTATAATAGTAGGCCTATAAAGATATGGAATCAGTGTACTCAGGTTTAATACCTGTGACATCACATTTTTAGTGTCAATGAAAACTTTGTAATCTAATTTTTTACACAGAAGACAGGCCTGACTTTTGGTCTGATTTAAGTGAAAATGATGTCAGTATGTGTATTGTATAGAGATGTGTGCTGCCATTGTGGTGTCAGAATGAAAATCCATCAAACACAGTCATGTCTACTGACAAACAAGAGTAACTTTTTTATAGAATAGACAAGTTGACCTGCACAATTCTGCAAAAATAAATTGGTTTTTATTCAATTTATTTTGAGAGGGTAGTTAGGTATGATAAACATTTCTGATGCTGATTATGTACTTCAGAGTAAAATGTCGAGAAAAAGCAAAACATATGCAACAATGGCAACAGATTGAGACTCCACAAGAAAGGGAAACACAACCAATGAAAAAGAGCCAAGACTGAGTAAGAGTGGCAATTTAACAGACAGTGACTGCATCTGCCATTCACAAGAAACATCAAGAACACGAGACCTTCATTGGAAAGTAAATAAAGATATTTTAATGGGTGGGGAGGGGGGTTAACTATACAATAAATCTATGATTTTATTTATTTTCTTTAATTTTTATGCTCTTAAGCCATTTATCTCACAGAAAATACAACCATCTGACATGTATTGTTACATGAAAATCAAAATTTTGATCCTTTCTATTTAAAAATATCTAAATATCAACCTCTGTTCAGGTATTAATACCTGGGCAACACCAGGTAAGGACAGCTAATGCTTTAATAAACAAGTCTTGTGTATAAAACTAACAATGTGTTATTTTATGTTAAAATCAACTTTTATATCTTAATTTTGATTATATTCAGTACTTTAGCATGTTCTTTAATAAACAAATTTTGTGGATAAAACTCGCACTGTGTTACTGTTATGTTAAATTCATAAGTGATAAATGTTCACAGTTCACATCAAATGCACTTAAACTGTCTTTTCACCAGCCATTAATAAAGATGACTGCTTTTGTGTTTTCAGTCACAGCTGTGGAGACAGTAAGTCACATTATACTAAGGGTCTGTGAACTTGAAGCAAGTTGAGGATACTCTAAAAAAACTTTTCATTGTTTTACCGACCATTAAAAGCACTGAAGAAAGATTTCAAAACCCTGTATTTTCAAAAACAAATACATATTTAACTGATAAAAGTACAATTTTATTTTTATCCTATTCTATTCAATTAAAAAGTGATTAATTTTATTTGTCTATTTAAATTATGTATATTGCAATATTTTAGGCCTACCACTACAGTTTTGTTTTAATCACAAAAATTTTTAGATGTAGAATTTTGAGTGAAAGGGATAAGTCTGCTGTTGTCAATTTATTGTAGCATTTTTAATTTTAGTATAATTTTTAATCTCATTTTCTTATTTTTTTAAGGCCTAAGTATATTTCATTACAGGGTTCATAGAGATTTTACAAAAACTCAAATTTCCAGGACTTTGAAATCCTGCCATGCAGGATTATAATGACATTTTTTTCCCATCATACATGCCTTCCAGCAGAAATTTCAACAGTATAGGGTTTTATGAGGCAAGAGATTTACAGTGGTTGAGAAATAAAAAAGCCTGATTTGATAACCAAACTTTTCTGTTTAATTTATCTGAATTAAGTTTATTATTTAAAGTTTTTTTAAATATTCAAACAGAAATTTAAGAACTTTGGTAGAACCATGAATTAAAGAGTAATTTTTCCAGAATTTTCAGAACTGAAATTTTAGAGTGTATTTTCTATATATTTCCAAGATTTCAAGAACCTGTGTGAACCATATCGAAATAAGTGAACTTGATTTTTTTAATTACATCACTAACTTTTGTCACACAGCTCATTTCATCAACAAGAGCTGACACTCTTCACAAAAGGTAAATTTGGACATACATTTCTAAAAAACAATAATTATATGAACTGAACATAAAATTTATGTTCAGTGTTTGCATAACATAAATTTTATTATTAACATCTTACTATTCAATAGTTATAAGTTTTTTTACAAAGAATTTGAATCACCTGAAGTTAGTTTTTGTTACTTGTGCCCAAATGATTCTGTACAAGATAATTACCTACTGCAATCTACTAACATATGAATCTAACAAGGTTGTTGTTTGTTGGGGCTTTATGATAATGAAAAGAACCAGGGCTATCTGTACCATCTTATTAAGAAGTACCAACTTTTAACTAATATCTAAAAAGGATACTGTTTCCTAAAATAGACACTAGACGGTTAATTGGCAGAGGAGAATCAAGTGCATAACGATTGTTCAAACATTCAGCTCTCATAAACTTGCTGAAAGGGAAAAAAATTAATTTTTAGTTATTTACTGTAGCAAAAATATTGAATTCATAACAAACATAATTATTTTCCAATAACTTAATGTTAATAAGTAGAAAGAAACATATTTCTAATAACAAAATAACTGGATGTGAGAAAACAAAACTAATTCTACGTTATAATGACTGAATTACCAGTTGCTATTACTTTAGTCATCAAAAGAATTTCTTCTTCATTTTGTGAACTCTTGTCCTCAACATTTTTTAATGGATGAAAGATCTTCTCAACAATAGAAAACATCAAACTGCACAGGTACTTCTAAGGATATATATCCTACTAATGGTGATTTTTATGTCAGGTACAACTAAAAATGGATGATGTCTATCTACATATATTTATCTATTTAAGTCCCATATTAATGTTAAAAAATTTGACTTATGTTAGTGTGCTCTATATTTAAAAAGTGTCACTATTACTTGGATAATTGGTTACAGCTTGATTTGAGGCCTTAGCTGGTTTACAATTTTCCTATCTAGTACTCTGTCGTATTCAATTTTCCTATCTGTTACTCAAAGCTAATGTTTCTTGTTCACTCACTTAGATACCATCAGTGTCAAATAGTGGATATTGTCTGATTCTAAACCTAAGGCAAAGGCAGTAATGTTAATATGTCAGCTCATCTGAATTAGTTCACATAGTTTGTTCATAAATAAAGGACTGATTTAATAATCTATTCACCTTTTAATGCATGAGTGAATAACAAAAACTCAACACAAAGGAAAATAAAGTTTTAGATAACTTTGTGATATGTGTCAGCTCTACAATGTGACATCAACAGTTCTTAAACTTCATAAACTTTAAGTCAAACCATTAATCATTTACAAATCAGTTCAAGCATGATGAGTAACTGGTTAGAAATATTTCAAACTTGGACACCCTTTGAAATAAGTACAAAATTGTATCTGCCTCAAGTCGTGAGGAAAAACATTACACTTAGACAGTCATTATGGTTTAAAATTTAACTCATTATTCAGTTTTATGTTTATCTTTTTAATAATTAAGAAAGTTTACATGCAAAATAAATTGTGCTTAATTCCTTTTTTTAAATACATAGAATCCACTACGTTAGATTACAATGAACTTAACAGTAAATGAATTCTCATGCTTACTTGAGTTGACTATTCTGTCACACCATTTATAGAACTGGGTGTTTAACTCAATTAATTGACAATCAATTACCTATGAGCATCAATTGTTGCCACATAAAATAGCTGATTAATTGAAATTACAATTAAATTGATTAATGTCACAAAAATTAGTGTTTCTGATTATTCTAACTGTCCAAGTATCGTGTGAGAATAATCAATTAGTTGAATGCAATCAATTAATGAGCTCAACATGTAACTGACTAGCAAATTGCACTAATCACTTGGTTATAGCCATCTATACCAAAAACTAGATTACAGAGGAATTAAAGCAAGACAAGAAAATAAGAAGCCAATATCATACTCAAAGTCTATATAAAGGAATTAAAAAATATTGTAGGTGCACAAGTTCTGACTTGAACATACTTGTCTTGGTGTCAAGAGTCAATGTCATTATTTTCAGACTGTCAGTCCTGTCCAGTTTTCCAGTCATAACTCTGTCCTTGGTTTAAGCCAATCAGGATCAAATGAAACATACATTGTATTTAATGTTCCAAAATAGGTCTGTAAAATATTCTGTCTAATAAGTTATACCTATTTTATGCTGACTATTGATTAAGTCAGCTTTTAATGAGTAACTTGTCAACTAACAAAAATCAATTATTGTTTTTTAACCATATAGTACAGCAATCATCTAGAAATGTTTTGGATATAGTGAAGCACCATGCATAAAATGGCAGAAATTGTGGTATTAATTGTTTTAATGTCAATTCCTATTAACATGGAATGTTGTAACACTGGCAAATAAATCTAAAAAGTAAGAAATAAATTACGTGTTCTTACTAGATACTTTATGAGTAAAGATGATGTTAACTAACATTTCTTAAGATAAAGATAAATTACATCATAATACGAAAATCATTCTGATCTTCAAACCCAATTGAACTTATATATTCTAATTTTATACTTGTTAATTTTAGTTTATACTTTTTCTCTCAACCCTCACTTCATATTATTTCAAATCAAAACTCAAAGATCAGCTTAAACTTAAAATTTGTACTATAGTCATCCTTCATCTAGTTGCACATGAAGATAAAAAGCAAAAAGAAAATTAGAACAAAACTTTATATGTTTACTGTAACCAACCATTAATTATGGAATAAGCTGCACCATACACACAAATATTACACTTTAAAATATAATTTGCAATTCATTGTGTAAGAGTACTATTTGCCTCAGAAAACAGGAAATTCAAACCTTAATCATTTATAGAAAAATTAACATAGTTTTCAGATATTTTCAATAGATTTTGCTTCAAACAATATATCCATGACATCCATTATTTCATTAGTTTATACAGAGTTGACTGCACTATATTAAAACAATCTTGACCATTCAGATCAGCATCTGATATAACAACCAAAGATGATATAAAGTTGCTGTGGAACAGCATGTATATCAGAATTACATTTTGACATTATTTGGAATTTCATAGGTACTGTGATACCATCAAAAATTGATTGTTTCTGGGAAGAGAACTAAGAAGCCCTTTCTGACACAAAATATTCATGCACTCAGATCATACAGAGGTGTTCAAATCAAGGATTTAGAATTTTCTAGATGGGGATATCTCTAGTACTTAATAGCATTGGAAAACAAAGGAATATGTATCAACTTGGGGAACCAGAAATCCACAGAGAGACCTGCAATGAATTGTACCACATCTGCGGTACAAAGTGCAGCATCTTGTAACAAATGAGAATCCATGAACATAAAGATCAGATGCAAAGCCATCAATATGCTCCAGGCAACAGTATGCAACATAATCAAGAAATATCTCTGTCTGAAAAAAATAACACAAGTCATGTGTGCACACACTGCCTCTGTGAATTATTCATTCAACTGTTGCAGACCTCAAGCAGATGTAGAGTGAAACAGGTATTAAAGCTATTCCATGGTTGTCATAGAGAACATGACCAGGTATGGCAACATGAACTTTACTGACGTGATGAAGCTCCAAAATCATTATAGTATAATGTACTCAACCTCTTTACTCAAGTCTTAACATTTAGAATAACAAATTCTATTACAAAAATTTTCTGATTTTCACATATAATAGTAATTACAGTTGAACCATTGTTGAAGTAGGGCTGATAACTATAACACACTATAAAATGATAGATTTAAAATAAATTATTCCAATGTTGTATAATGCCTAGACTGGAGTAGAGGAACTAACTATTTCAAGTGACTTATTATTTATGAAAAAGTTACATGCTAATGAGGAAGGAAAACAACACCATGGTTTGAAAATGTTGATTGGAAGCTAGCAAACAATGTTAGTAAGTGAAATTGAAATGTTAAAAATTGCATGTTTTTATCAATAAATGTCCATTTGAAAATGCTAACTGAAATATTTTAATAAAATCTTCTGTACATGAAATTAAACTTTTAAAAACAAGCTTATTAGGAGTTAAGCTGTTATAATAATACCATTAAGACTAAGAGTATAATGGATGTGAATATCTGAAGCTTAAGTGTTGTTAAAGAAGTAAATGTAATTAATAAATACATAGGTTGTTATATAGTGATATAGTTTGAATAAAGAATTCCTTGTCAAGGAAATATCAAGTGACAAATCATAAAGCAATTTTTTATTTGTATTTAATTCAGTCAAACACAATAAGGGAGCTCAACAATGTAAAATAAAAGTCTGAAGTAAACTGTTGCAGTTTACATGATGTAAAACATACATTGTTACAGAGTTATCAGTACTGTAGCTCAGTTGTTTCAACTACACAGTTTATATTCTTTCATTAGAAAAACAACACTGTCTTCAAAAAGTATAATATTTTTTTCTAGATAATTCAAGTTTGACAGACCTATATGATAATTAAAATTGCACCTGTTTGTATCATTGTTCATCACTCCAATGAATCCAAATAACATGAGATAGAGGTAGTAGTAACTCCACAAAAATCACAAGTCATTGTACATATTCATGAACTAAACTGTTACACACCTAAATAAATACACTCAATATTTTAAAATAATTTCTAATACTAAAATAATTACCACACTGCACATATTACTAACTTACAGATTTCTGAGTTTCAGTAAAATAGTAACAGAAGTTATGATACATATGTTCTTAAGCTTAAGACATGCTAAATGTTCAGCTGTCTTTGCAAGTTCAGTTAAATGTACTTGTGAATATTTAGCATTAAGCAACTACTTTTAAGTTAAATGCAAAAATCAGGAAGATTTTAACTCAAATGTCAATTGCTAATGTGTTGTGAGTCATGGTGGAGGAACATGCGGGTTACTACTGTTCTTCCTCTTGTGCTACCCCTCGAGGATTTCCATATACAGAGGATGATACTGTGCTGGAAGTGATTCCTGTCTGATTGGTTTTGAGTGGGATATTTCACAATGGAGGGACATCTTTATTATCCTGATCATCTGGATGTTGGGTTCCCGTATCAGACAAGCATTTTATCATTTTGCTATAGTGTCCTCTTTACAGATTGGTGGGTATGATATTTCCCTACAATTTGTTGAACTTGAGGTGAAGACTGTATGATCCACTTTCCTGTACAACCATTGTTCTCTCCCTTTTTCTGCCTATGTCTGCATCACCTCTTTCCACACTGAGCATGGAGTATACCTGGTACAGAAATGGTTTGGTCTCCCACATATGATCCTCTACTGCAAGGATTTCCACTTTTAGGGTGTTCTTTGGATGCTTTCGAATAATGCTTCTTGCTTTCCCTTGTACCAGTCTCTCCACCTATTCAAAGTGGTATTCTAGCTATTTATGTGAGTGGAGGTAATGTACCATATTGGAAGTTATAATTTTACTGTACTGAA